ATTGCAGAAGGTTCAGGGAACATCATGCGAGAAAAACTTCTCGAGAAAACAATGTGCAAGATTTAATGCACATGTTATTGATAACGTCAGATCCACTAATAACAAGTTTAAGAAAATTGGCCCCCAAAAAAATAGAACATTTTTCAGAAGACATTGTTACGCTATTAAAAAATCCCCCACAGCATAAAAATGATGCTGAGGAATCTATTCGAGAGGAGGAAAGCTCAAATGAAGAATACAGTTCTTCATCCAGCGATGAAATATAGCTTTAAAATTTTTATTTTTTTAATAAAGTTGGTAAGATATGGTTGTAAATTTTATTATTTACATTCTATGATAGTTATTGTAAACAATAATTATGATTAGAAGATGGAGACTAACGGAGAATTTCCTATAAGCGTAAATAAAATTTGCATTTTTTAAAATGTCATAATAACATTACATAAAGACAAATTCTTTAATTTAAAAACACTACGTATCTGTAAGATCTGTAAAATTTTCACAACATAGAACTGAAATTGTACTAACATTTTGAACAAATATATTGTTGAAGTAACGTACGGAGAATAAGATTAGTATATACGTCAATTTCTGAAATTGCATTTGATTCTATTCTTACTTGATGGAGACAAAATATATTGCACTTCGGCATAAATACAAATGTCTGTTTCTATTTAATATGTTAATATAAACGTTGGAGAATAGTTTACGACAGATGTAAATCTTTTTCTAAAAAAATCATATTTTCTAATTTTGTCCAGCTAGAATAATGATATGGACCACTGCGCCATACCGATCGTCCCTCTTTGTTAATAATTTTACATCGACACGATTGCGCACATTTTCCATCGTTTTACCAAACACCGCATTATTCATTAATTTGTATAAATTTTTTTCGAAATCATTTTTAGCCAATGTTCTGAAATGTGTATTTAATTCTATGTAATTTTGAAGCCAGGGAGATTGTGAAAACTGTAAAATTCGATGTATTTTTGTTACACGAAGGCCGTGCCGCGTACACTGCTGCAGGTTGTGGTAGTGTATCACGTAACGCTTCTTATCGTATAACGTTGCAAGCAGTTTGAATTCCCGCTTGCCAGGTGGTTTATCGCGTGTCAAGCAAAACGGTAGGTCAAACGGTGCATCGTGAAGATGTTGCGGGTACTCGAGGTCCACTTCGAGGATATAGCCCGTAGGCGAACCTAGCGCGATGGATGATACGTCAAAATTGGACACATTGTCGACCCATCGAAAATCGGCATAAGGCAACGGTTGACACATTGCCCATCCGTACAAATTATTTACATCAAGTACGATGATGGTTTCGATGGATCGTACGAGTCCATGTACTTGTTATTAGCGCGAGCGTATCTACCAGAACATTGACTCAGACCCCCGCGTATGCCACGTTCGATTAACATAACCATATCGATGTCTGTAAGCAACTCAAACGTGAGCTTTGTATGCTTCAACATGGCGTTCCACGTGTATCCGGGGGGGGGGGAGTATAGTAATACGCGGGGTCGAGTCCGTAACTTACGATACATTTATCTCGAAAGTTTTCGAAAATGTCAGCTAATAACAAGACATCGATTTTGAGTCGTGATTTTGAGACATTGATTTACAAGTCGCTATATTCGCCTAGCGTCCGAATGGAGAATCGCATCCAGACGTTCTCGGCGTGCGCGTAATCGCTCTCGGATATAATTTCGCTAAGCTAAACTAAATACCCGATGGTGTTGATACGCGTTTTTTCCTTCTTCCGTCTTGGCTAGGACACATTCCAAGTCGGCGTACACGATGAATGGAAGCCGCTCCTTCCGATTAGGGTTGTTGAACGATAGCCACTTGTCCTTTTCGCTCGGCAATCGGACAGCGCAGTCGTTCATCTTTCCGCAGTCGACCGTATGCGACTGCAATTTGGCATCCGAATCAAAATAATGAAGGCATCTGTAAAAGAAAAATTTTAATTATGATTCAAACAATCCATATTATAATTATATAAATTATAATTATTCAAATAATATAAAATACACTTACCGATCGCAGATATATTTCTTGCGATTTTTTTGCTCAGTTGCGAGCTCACGAGCCTGGATAAATTCTTGATCCAAGCAAAATGTCCCACGCTGTTGTTATCTTCAATGTACAACAGATTCACATGCTTATCCCGCTTCTGCTGCGAAAGATGTATCGGAACAATGCTGTTTTTGTCTTGGATGCCGTACACATTGATTGAAATGTCATTTGCATGTTCAAATTTCTTAGTCTGATTCACAGTCACGAGGAAACTCAATGTTCCGGAGATTCTGTCGCGTAATGCGGGCACGATGATTTTCCGTTCCGCGGGACTTTCGGTGTGATACAGAGCGGCGACCACTGCCATCCCGCGCGCATGGGTTTGTACTTGTTAATATTTACGGTCAAGTTGAGTATTCGCGACAAAGGCCACCCGCTATCGCGTTCCTGAAACTCTTCCAGAGACGCTAGAGTGGACTCGATAATGCGCCGTTCGTACCACTCGCGTAAATCGAATGAGCGAAAAAGTTCATAGTTTCTCGTATTCACACTTTTATTCGCGTGTTTATCTCCGGCCACAAATTCACCGTTAAATATAGTGTTCACTTTTACACTGTTGTGTTTTTTTAAAGCGTCCTGCACATGTTCTATCACAATGTCTTTGGTGTCGAGAAATTGGCGGGGTTCGATGTGATTATAGTTTATTACTGCACCAGTCGATACGCGACCCTCGAACGCCGTATCAATTTCGTGCCACACAAGTCCATTTTGACGCGCACTACATCCGGCACCCGCGTATACGAAACGTCCACGTACCGAATTTTTTAACTCTTCGAGGCGCGCGATCTGAGCAATCAGCGATTATCGATATTCGATCGATAATCGCGGTCGTTTGATTCGACTTTGCTCTTCCAACGACTTGATGTACTCGCATCGTTGTTCCCACACAATGTAATTTTCCAACGAATAAAGCAAAGCGGATTGCTCTCGCAAAATTTGCTCCTCCATATTGTAACACTTGCGAAATTTAGCGTTTCTGATGATACTCCTGATGCACTTTAGCTACTGGTGAGGTGCGCCTCTCTATCATGATTTATATATCGTCTCATGCATTGTTTTATCATCGAACATTCTAGAACGATTTCATCTTACAAAAAATTCTCCGTAGTATCGTGTGCAATTTGACCTTGAAAATTTCGCGTTTTGTCACGTATATTTGAAAAATCTAACGTGATTGTATCAGGGGCAGCCGTACATCGGCGCTCGATTTTAGCAAATTCAGCTAAATCTTTGTCTGGGGATGATACACATTTTAACCTTGGCTGTTATTTTTCACTATTTGTCACGTACATTTGAATAATTTTGACATGATTGCATCAGGAGCAGCCGTACATCGGCGCTCGATTTTAGCAAATTCGGCTAAATCTTTGTTTCGATGCGGATCGTAACCTTGAAAATTTCACGTTTTGTCACGTGCATTTGAAAAATCTAACGTGATTGCATCAGGAGCAGCCGTATATCGGTGCTCGATTTTAGCAAATCGGCTAAATCTTTGTTTCGATGCGGATCTTAACCTTGAAAATTTCACGTTTTGTCACGTACAATTAAAAAATTTAACGCGATTGCATCAGGAGCAGCCGTAAATCGGCGCTCGATTTTAGCAAATTCAGCTAAATCTTTGTTCTGAGGATAATGTCATCGCAGCCGTACATCGGCGCGACAAAATTTTGGAGGAAATTAAAATGTTGCGTCAGCAGTAATCCCATCTACATCGCAATTTACGATACTATTTGAATTGATATTAATTCTAATACAATTGCAGTATTGCATCAATCGCGCATGTGAAAGGTTCACCGCTGAAGAAATATGAATTTCTACGTTCCGATTTGAAACGATGAAACTCCGCCGTGTAAGAAGCAGAAATGCGACACGTAAGATTTGATTATTTAAAAAATTTGTTATATTAATTAAATTATAAATAAAATTTGTTATATTAATTAAATTATAAACATATTGGTTTAATTATTTATTAATAAAATAACTAATGTCGCTAGTCAGATAATCACAAGGATCGTTGAAAAAAATGTAGTCGACCAAACTAGCCAGAAATTTGTTTATTAATACGACGTTTCGACCATATGGTTGTGGTCCTTATCAAGTATATACTGGAAAGATTTATAAATAAATTAAACAATTAATTTACGATTTGAATAATATAACAAGCACAACGAAATAAAGTGTGATCAATTTTACCGATGCAATAATAATCAGGAGACAGGCATAGACGATAATCTTGCAAAACTGCACAAGTCACATTAACAAAAAACGTTATTTTTTATTCGATTTGAATTTGAGAGAAACTGATGCGTCCGTTTGAGATTTCGTCAAGAAACTAAACACAACCAGAGGAAAAACGAAACTAAGTGACCTTTATTATTTTGTCATAAATGTTGTTTAAATTATCCGTGTCTTTCTGTAGGTTGATTAAGTTATTAAATCTCTTGATAAAGAACATCTCAGCGATCTCTCTCTTTCGAACATATTTTTCGCTATGTAAAATATTGGGTTTAGACCAGTCAAATTCATATCTCGATTCTAATCTATGTTTGCTAATGACTGAATGATTAATTTCATGTAACTTTATATTATTGCAATGTTCTTTCATTCGCGTACGTAAATGTCTTTTTGTTTGCCCAAAGTATGATAAGTTACAATCTTTACAATTTAATTTATATACAACACTTGTCTTGTCATTATTATGTAAGCTATCTTTACCGCGTCTAATTAAATTATTTAGTTTTTTTGTTATTTTGTAAACGACGTTAAAACCACTATTTCGTAAAAGACGGTACAGATCATGACTCGTATTCTCTACGTATGGTATTGTAATAAAATGAGTTTTGTTTAAACGAGTAGGATTCACATCAATAGTATCATTGTGGTCGCGATTATTTAAAAAATTAATTCTTTTTTGAATATGCCTATGGATGATATGTTCTGGAAAACAGTTATTGATTAAGGTGTCATATACTAACTTAATGTTTTTTTGTTTGAAGCAGTCATTAGATAATAAAATAGCATGGTCAACTAAATTATAGATAGAGTTAATTTTGTATTTTTGCGGGTGGTTCGAATAATAATTAATGTACCTCCCAGACCATGTAGGTTTCCTGAACCAGTTTGTAATTAGTCTAGTTTTCGATCGAATGACTTTAACATTTAAGAAACTAATCGACGAATCAATCTCCATCTCGTAAGTGAATCGCAAGCGTTCGTGGTAATTATTAAATTTGGTTAACATTTCGTCAATTCTTGTGCGTGGCACTATCGCAAAAACATCGTCCACAAATCTATAATAAATAGGAACGGTAAAATTCAGTGAATTTAAGCATTGTGTCTCCAGATCGTCCATCACCATATCTGCTAAGATAGGTGAAGGCGGAGAACTCATATGAGTGCCGAAGATCTGTTCATAAAATCGTTCGTTAAACGAAAAGCAAGTTGAATCAAAAATCGCTTCTATTGCATATAAAAATTGAGATAAGTTAAATTTTGTGTTTTTTGCAATATCATCCCAGCGATTTCTTATGGCCTTTACAACTAACTCTTTTGGGACGTTAGTAAATAGCGAAGTTACATCCAACAAGATCATGATGTTGTCATCATTAATAGTTGTATTTTTGATATTCTCGACGGAGGATCAACCATCTTTAAAGAATGAATTTGGTTTCTTTATCGATTTATACAGAATATTGTGGATGTAACTGGAGATATTATATACCGGGATTCCCAGAGCAGATACGATAATTATCAACGGAAAACCGTCTTTATGGATCTTCGGCAGACCGTAACAACGCGGTAAATTTCCGTTCGTACAATTCAAGTTTTTGTATGTCAAATCATTAATCAAATTATTTTTGCGCCATAATTTGACCAACTCATTGATCTTATTTGTTAGTTTTTTCAAAGGATCCTTATTTAATTCTTTATACGTGGTTTGGTCACCCAACAGCAAGTCCATCTTGTCAAAATAATCTTTTTTGTCCATGACGACAGTAATCTGACCCTTGTCGGCTCTCGTTACCATGATATCATTATTATTATCGCGTAAATATTTCTTGGATACGGCGAACGAATTGAGAATACATCTGTCTGAATAATTAATATGTTTCTTGGTATAGAGAAATCTTTGAAGGATATTAGCCACGGAAATCCTAGTTGTTTCAATAGCGTCAGTGGGCAGATTATTGCTATTCACTTCAAAGCTCTTGACCACGTCCAAAACATAATTGATGCGATCATTTTTTAAATTCTGTTCTATAGGCAACTCAAAATTTTCACCCAGCTCAAAAAATCAGAAACTGTGTCAGGTATGTCCTTGCTGCTGATGTTAACAAACCACTTAGACTTGTCAATATTCGAAAAAGGATGTAAACAAGTGTTGTATTTTTGTTTCAAATTGTTGAACTCTTAATTGAGTTGTTTTTTATACTGTAGTCAAAAGATGTAAGTCTATGTCTATTTAATTCAAAAAAATTAGTCACTAAGTCATGTGGTAAGCATTCAAACAGTCGTTTTTCTATTTAATATTTTTAATTTTGTTATGTAGATAATTTAAATTAATATTTTGATCCTCAATCTCAAAGTTCAACAATTTGTATTGATTCGCTTTCTTAAAATTATCGAATTTGCGTTTAATGCTGTTGCTATGAAACGCGACGCTAATCTTTATGTTATTAATATGTGCAGGGATCAAGTCGTGTCTTCTGCAACGAATCAAAAAAGTTAATTGTTGTTTCGAAGTGTAAATCTTCTGTTTACAATTTATCCATGATTTCAAAAGCGTTGTGCAGTTGTCATCAAACCGTTGAGAGATATGTTGGAAGAAGTCATCAGTACGAATTAGCTTCATAATTAGGTCCAGGAGCGAAATTAAAATTATTAAAATAACTAATGTCGCTAGTCAGAAAATGTGTTCGAAAGAGAGAGATCGCTGAGATGTTCTTTATCAAGAGATTTAATAACTTAATCAACCTACAGAAAGACACGGATAATTTAAACAACATTTATGACAAAATAATAAAGGTCACTTAGTTTCATTTTTCCTCTGGTTGTGTTTAGTTTCTTGACGAAGTCTCAAACGGACGCATCAGTTTCTCTCAAATTCAAATCGAATAAAAAATAACGTTTTTTGTTAATGTGACTTGTGCAGTTTTGCAAGATTATCGTCTATGCCTGTCTCCTGATTATTATTGCATCGGTAAAATTGATCACACTTTATTTCGTTGTTCTTGTTATATTATTCAAACCGTAAATTAATTGTTTAATTTATTTATAAATCTTTCCAGTATATACTTGATAAGGACCACAACCATATGGTCGAAACGTCGTATTAATAAACAAATTTCTGGCTAGTTTGGTCGACTACATTTTTTTCAACGATCCTTGTTAATTATTTATATTTTTATAGTATTCAGCCTCGTCGTGCAGCTCGCATACTTGGAAGAAGGTACGGTCTAACCCCGACGTCGTACAAGTATTTGGACATTGGAATAAGCGTTGGAGCTGTATCGTATGTGGGACTGATTCTCGGCGATAATCGAGGCAATTAAATAGTGTTGTCTTTTTCAACGTGGAATTTGTTGATGCGGAAGCAAGCAGACGTTGAACAATTTCTACAATCGGCTGCTCCCCCATTAAGGATTGGAGATTTAACGATCGAAATGTATCAATCAAAAATTGTGAAAATCACATTATGTGGCAATTCTTTGTATATGAAATCAGAAACATTATTACATTTATTTAATTTTGAGAATTGTATCAATCATATGCACAATTGGTTATGCGAGAATACGTATCTCGTAAATGAAAAATTTAAACAATTTGAAACTGTATTACAACGTAGTAATATTACTACTGTATGCGATGTTGTAAAAATGATACGTGAGAGTGATGTTTTTAACAGCGAATCATTGATCGATTGCGAATTATTAACATGTGCTGTAAATGATATTCGTTACGATGCATGCAATAAATAATTATTTTTATTCCATCTATGATTTTATTTCTTTCCTTCCATACGAATAAGAATAGTCGACAATTTTTCTCAACATGCTCCGCTAAAGATGTAGAGAAATGCTGAGGTAGATGAGACGCGATGCTCTAGTTGGAATGAGACGCGAGATATTAAAAGATATATAATGAAGAGGAGTCTGCGGCATTAGAATATTATTTCGTTGTTCTTTGCGTGTCTTGTGTGTTACGTTAGTGCAATGGCTGAAGAAGATGTAATCGTCGGCATTGAAGGTATGGATGATAATGATGATTTGATGGATCCAGTTGTGGCGGAAAAAATTGAGATTGAGAGAGAGAGGAGAGCGAAATGGAAGAAATTGTATGCGAAGGAAGAATCATACGATAAGGAACCTGATTTCGATTTTCGAATTAGTGATGTTGAAGAATTACTTCAGTATGAGCGGGAACAACATTCGAAGAATCTGGAAACTTCAGTTGTTCAATTTATAAGAAATCGAGAGTTCGGCTTGAAAAAACCTCGCACAATTTCGTTGAACAGATTTCTCAAATCTCGAAAATTTTGGGCGAACTCAGTTAAAAAATGTAATGCAAGTTTTTGTATAGATTGTATAGATGCGGAAGATCCTAATCACACTAAAGTAAAATGTTTCGGAAATAGACTTTGTAAACATCTTGAATCATGTAAAGGGATAGAAAAATTCGAAGAAGATGTGCATGAGAATATGCTACGACATGACTTGGAAACGTTGAAGGTAAAAATATTTTTTGTCAATGTGTAATAAATTTAAAACATTTACAATTATTATGTTTAATTTCATAGTTTACGAGAATATATGAATGGTCGACGAGAGGACCAGGAGCGGCCTCCCCCTGGCCCAGCGCAATGCCCTCCCTAGTCTTCCAGGAGCGGCCTCCCCCTTAGTCCGGCGTTCCCCCCATTATTATCATTTTTTAATTTTATATTTTATTATTTTTATATTATTTTAAATTTTATTCTTATTATAATCATAATTTTAAGTACATACACACACACACAAATATGTATAATACTCACACATTTTTAATAAATTTTATATTTTCATTTAAAAAAAAATCTAATTATTTACGCGCCTCTCCTTGCGCTCCCATCCCTGCGTCTCTCTCGCGCTAGTTATCGTGATATCGTTCTCTCTTATGCGTTAATTGTAAGTCTATCTTCATCTTTCGCGCTTAAAATAAGTAATCTCTTACGCTGACACAAAAATGTACAGAGTTAAATAAATTATATATTTTATATTTGTAAAAAATGTGATTATTTACACGCTTCTCCTTGCGTCCCCATCCCTACATCTCTCTTACGCTAGTTGTAAGTATTGCGTTAATCTCGATTATCGTTCTCTCTTGTACACGTCGTCTTCGCGCTATCATTCTCTCTCTCTCGCACGCGCTAGTTGTAAGTCTTCGCGCTATCGTTTTCTCTTTCGCGCGCGTTAATTGCAAGTCTCGCGATATTATCATTGTCTGTCTCGCACGCGTTAGCTTAGAATATTATCATTCTCTCTCTCTCTCTCTCTCTCTCTCTCACATACTCGTTGCTCACTTGCCTTTGCGTCATCCTTCTCACACCTATGCATCGTCCTTGTCCAACGATGACGCCATCCTTGTCGCACTCGTAGCACTATCCTTTTCCCACACGTAGCGCTGTCCTTCTCACACCACCGTCTTCTTTCCGCGAATCCCCTTCACTGCGCGGACCCCCTCGTCCATCGCTCACGCCGCTGATCCCCCTTCACTGCGCGGATCCTCTCGTCTATCGCTCGCGTCGCGGATCTTCCTTCACCTCGCGGACCCCCTCATCAATCGCTCGCGCTGCGAATCCCCCTTCCCTGCGCGTGACGTCACCCGCCGCGCGCCATAATTCCTCCTTCCCCGCGCGTGACGTCACTACCCCCGCACCGCGGTTCCCCTCGCGCCTCTGAGAGGACCTGGGTTAGAACCGGCCTAGTCTCACTACTTACATGTATTGTTTATGCATGTTACACATGCTTTCTGCATTGTACAACTACATTACTTAATTTTTTTTAAATAAATATTATTCTTTATGCTAGCATTCTTTTTATTATGATTCCTTCCTATATTATGCTGTTGTTGGCTATATGTTGGCTCTTTTTAAAAAAGGATAAAAAAGGATGTTTTCAAATTACTATTATTTTTCAATCTTTTATTTACATGTTTATTAATTTAAAAAGATTTCTGTACTAATATTTCATACAATTTATTTCTTATTGCAATTAGGAAATTACAATTTCTTATAAATTAATTATAAATTTTTTTGCCATAGGTACAATGAAAAAATTTAAAGATCGCATCCTTAAATGATGAAAATTAAATAAAATATTTACAAAAGGTCGGAAATAAACAAATTCTTAACTCGAAGGTTAAATCAAGCATTTTTTATGTAAAAATTTAAATATAATAATAATATTTGCTGACATATATATGTAGGATATTTTATGAGTACATATGCTGATCAACCCGATCACGTATTACCCGCGCACGGTCGCACCGCATTAAAACCCGAAGTGTCTTGCACTGTGTTATGTCTTCCGCGTGTGTACCTTTTCGGACGCCCCGCACAGTTCTTAGAACATCCTGCGCTTTATTCAGATACCTTTTAATAACTGAGGATACATGACGGAAGGGCGAGTGTAAATTGCAGCAATGCAGTTCAGACAAAGGCAGTTCCTATCGTTCGAAGAGTCGAAATGTACTCTCACTGTACTCTAATTCTGTAATTATATTCTATATTATATACCGTTTTAAATAAATTATACTTGTAAATAACATCTTACATATAATTCTTTTAATGTTATCATAATATACATTTGATGCCTCAATTAAAAATATCTTTTATCATATTTAATTATATCTTTATATTTAATTAAATCTTTTCTTATACTTAATTATTCCTTTTTGTTGAATTAAATTTTTATTATATATAATTATATCTTTTTATTTAATTCTACAATCTTAAAGATTATTTCATTCTTACATTTTATGTTCGACGTGTAA